GGGCAGACTGTGTGGCCTACGAACAACAGCTCTGGGAGTTTGAAGAAGAAAAAGAGCACTCGGAGTGGGGTTGTCAGGAAAGGCTCCTCGGAGGCAGGGCACCAGGGGCCGAGCGGGAGGAACAGCACTGGAACAGTAGTGTAAGGAGCGGGACAGTCCAGGCCAAACCACACAGCAGGAACAGAGACAGCAGCTCGAACAGCATGAGATCTGCGCCGCAGCAAGAAGTTCACTGTGCCTGTTGCCTCGGCCCTGACAGGTCTCCCAAAGAGCCTGAGGAGAGGATAACGTGCCGTGCGCCAGCCGGCCTCAGCACCTGGCCGCCTCCTGCAAGAGGTGGACTGTTTCTAAGGCAAAGGGAAGGGCCATTTGCAGGGTCAGGGACCACACTCCGCTCTGCCCACCCTCCACTCTCTCATCTTCCTTTCACCTTTTCCAACATGATCACCATTTACTTAGCACCGACCATTAGGCGTTGGAGAAAAAGAGCAACAGTCTCATTGGGGAGTTAGATGTCAAAATAGCTGAGAGAGAAACAGCTAAGCACCAAGTAAGTACTTCTGCTATTCCTAGACAGGGAAAGGGCGACGGTGGATGCTAGGGAGGCTGGCTGAGAAAGGCTGCTGGGACTAGCTGCTGCCGGCCAAGCCTTGAAGGAAAGTTCAGGTTCACAAGGCGGAGGGTTAAGAAGGGGTATTACAGACAAGAGGGTACGAGCAACAACAGAAACGCTCATAACACGGCTGAGCTATACGCTTAAAATGGTTAAGATAGTAAATGTTAGGTTAGGCGTATTTTTTTTTAATTTTTTTTTTACATTTATTTTTGAGAAACAGAGTGCGACAAAGCGTGAGCGGGGGAGGGGCAGAGAGAGTAGGAGACACAGAATCTGAAGCAGGCTCCAGGCTCTGAGCAAGCGGTCAGCACAGAGCCTGATGCGGGGCTCGAACCCACGAACTGTGAGATCATGACCTGAGCCGAAGTCGGATGCTCAACCGACTGAGCCACTGAGCTCAACCGACTGAGGCTCCCCAGGTTATGAGTATTTTAATCACAGTTTTTTAAAAACTTAAAACAATTAAAAACAGGTGATTCCTAAAAAAAAAAAAAAAAAGACAATAAGGTATGAAAACACACTGCCATTTGTAGCAAGGGATAAAGCCAACCATCTGACTTTGTAGAAGATTCACATAGAGTGGCAAAGGGAGATTCGGTAAAGAAACAGCTAGAAACTGGACTGTGGAAAACTTCATGCCAGATGACACTTGATTCTCTGCACCAAGGTTTCTAACTTTGTGGTCCAAGGATGGGCTTCAAGTTTTGGCCCACGAACACCCTGTAACAAATCTTCAATGTTCATTCATATGTGCGTTTTGATGTAGACAGAGGGTAATGGCTTTCAGATTCTCAAAAGGGTTTACGACGTAGAAACCTTGGAGTGCCTGGGTGAGTCCGTCAGTTAAGCATATGACTCGATTTCGGCTCAGGTCAGGATCTCAGAGTTTGTGAGTTCAAGCCCCGCATTGGGCTCTGCACTGACAGCACGGAAGCAGCTTGGGATTCTCTCTCCCACTCTCCCTGCCCTCCCCTGCTTAAGTTCTCTCTCACACACAGTAAATAAATAAACCTTTAAAAAGAAAAAAAGGAAACCTTGAAAACCATTCACATAGGCAATTGGCAGAGCGGTGTGGTTGGGACGGGACAGGGAGTTGAAGTTACAGAAGTTGAGTGCATTTCCCTGGAGACTTGCTCTTAACTCTACGCCAGATAGTATGTAACAAACCGACGTCACACCCGTCTTCAGTGGTTTCTTATTCACTAAGTGCTTAACAGAGCTCTTGGTAGGTAAGAACAGCTCATCAGGGAAAGTTGCTGACACTTATAGAAAAGAAACTAACAGAGACTAAACAGAGAAGAGAACCCAGTAAAGGGGATAGGAGGTCAGATGATTCAATACATTAAAATGCTACCGAAGCCAGAGAAAAAAATGGCCAGGGGAAGATGAAGTGATTACCAATGTCAAGTACAAGAGAGGAAATAAGAAAGATAAGAAATGAGGAAAAGAGATCTCCATATTTAATGATCTTCAGATGTACGGTGTCTGTAGGTGATGAAATAAGAGGCTGGAGGGTAAGGATATGGTGTCTAAACTGGGGCATTTGGGGACAGCTGGGTGGCTCAGTCGGTTAAGCGTCCAACTTTGCCTCAGGTCATGATCTCACGGCTCATGAGCTTGAGCCCCTCATCGGGCTCTGTGCTGACAGCTCAGAGCCTGGAGCCTGCTTGGGATTCTGTGTCTCCCTCTCTCTCTGTCCCTTCCCCGCTTGCTCTGTCTCTCTCTGTCAAAAATAAATAAATGTTAAAAAAAAAAATTAAACTGGGGCACTTGTAGAGAAGGGATGTACTGTTGATAATTATATCAGAATAACAAGAATCAGAACAACAACAACAACAGCCAGAAAGGCAGCAGATAACCATCCATTAACTCAAAGGGTTTGACTGTGAAAAGAAAAATAGGATAGGAATCAGTAGAACTAGTAGGGATAAGAAAAGGCTTTATCAGTTATTTATCTAGGAGGCAGAGAGGACTTCTGGAGGTTTTTGTTTTGTTTTCTTTAGAGTGAGAGACAGAGAGGGAGCGGGGGACAGGGGCAGCGGGAGACAGAATCTTCAACAGGCTCCATGTTCAGCGGGGAGCCCCACGTGCGGCTCTATCCCACAACCCTGGGATCATGACCTGAGCCAAAACCAAGAGCCGGATGTTCAACTGACTGAGCCACAGGCATCCCTGGGGCTTCTGGAGGTTTTTAAGGAGAAAGGAAGGAGGAAGCAGATGAGAGCACACTGCAGCCTCCATCCCAGAGTTCATGATGCACACAGAGGACAGGCACTCAGGCATTTCCTGCATGAACATTTATTGAGCAACTCTGGTCTTCCAGGAAGCAGGAAGGAACAGAATGAGCAGGAGCGGGGAGGAGACTTTCTTCCTTTGAAACTACACAGGAGAGAAGAAAACACAGTATGACTAGGAAGGGCAGGCCAGAATAACCTTCCTCAACCTCGTGAGCATCCGAGACGTAGCTGCCAGAGAAGCTGTCATTTCCAAATGAGCTTTCCCTATGGTCAAGGGAAAGGAAATTAATAAGAAAGTGAAACTAGCAGTTCTTTAAAGCTGATTCCTATGTAGATGGCCAGAACTAGAATACGGAAATCTATCTATCATGCAATATAGGCTTTCGTTCAGAGCCGAGCACTTACCTATTTATAATTTCATTATACGTACAGCTTGGGGGCTACAGCTACAGAGAGGTCAGGGGAACACTCACCCAGCGGAGTTTCAACAGGGTAAGAAAATAATGTTGGTGTCAGGATACAAAGATGCTACCATACTGATAATGCGGACAGAGAGGAAACTCACAGCCAAATGTCAGAAGGAGGTTAAATCATAAAAATGGCATCCGTCTACGGACAACTCTTAAATTACAATCAGGCAACTCATCCAAACTTAGTATAATCTCACACAAAGGGGAAGGGAAAGTGTCCACAGAACGTAACAGAAATGGGGCCATTTCTGGGGCTAGCTGAACACTCTGGCAACACCGTAGGGTCAGTAAATGGTCAACAGCAGGAAATCATAAGGCACGAATCACGTTCTAGAACAAGAAACTCAGAGTATATATTTAAATAACCAGATGGACAGATATTTACTACAAAAGTCAGTTTATTTTCCCTTCCTGTGTTTCATATTGTCCCTTTTTTGTCAGTAATGAGCAATTAACTGATTGGAAATCTGCTTGATTAAATAACATTAACAAGTCCATAAACACATCACACTTTACAGTATAAAGTAAGAAGCTGAAAAATATTCCCTATCCCAATGTGAATTAGGCAGCCCTCAAAATTGCACATTTTCCCCCTAGTTTGTGTCCATAATTTAAAATATACATATATATATACAGAATGACTTTAACATATCGGTAATTAGTATAGAATTCACAGCCTTGAAGACATACACACTACAAACTTCTAAAGAATAGATGCCTAGTCCTCAGGCCCTAGTAACCCATTAATATGATTCAAGGTCACATACCTAACACTTACTAGGACAAAAGGTTTCTCCTCTAATTCTAGTCTTCTGCTGAGGTAACTCAAGGAACCCGGTCGTGAGAGAGATCAATTCTCTGAAAACAGGGCTAAGGAGATTAGCTTCCTAGTGGATCCTAACGTTCCCAGACAGCAAATCTGGGGTGGAGTACTTCAGTTGTGAGCTACACCTTGGAATGTTCACAACAACTGATGATGTACCTTATGGTCCTTGAAAGGAAGACTGAATACTTCCAGGAATCGAAGTAAATTTTGAATGAAGACAGAAGAGAATGAGCTGACGATAATTTGAAGATATTTCTGCATCCAGAGCTGAATAACTTTAGATCAGATACAGAGTGACCGAGCCAGTCACCATGTAGTGTGATTTTCCCACCACAGTTTAACAAAGGGATTCTTTGTCCAAGGCAGCCTTACGCTTGATCCAGCTTGAGCACTCGACCAGGATTTGATGCTTCAAAGATGAGCCGCTCTCTGCAAACTCATTATCAGAGCAAAATCCAATGATCCTTTCCTATTCATGGAGCCCGTCACTGATACGAACCATGTGCAACTGTCTCATGGTCACTCAACTTTCCGGGCTGGAGAATCCATTCCAGGTCCAATACAGTACTTAAGGTGAAAAGGATAAATCTCAACAGGCCAAGTAAAGACGCTGGCAGATTCATAGGCCACTCAGTACGTTTATGGAACGACAGCAATAAAATCATCCACGATAATTTGTGTAGTGCAGAAAAACAGCCCAGCCTTCACCAATCGTCAGCGTCACAAGGTGAAAGAGGCTTGCCGATCTGAGGTTTCGTTGGAGCTCTTAAGACAACGCCCAAATAGGGTGAATTAAAAGAGAGAAGAGTCCTGATGCGTCTCCCAGTGTTCTTTTCTCCTGCAGGCACCACTCACTCACTCAGTGAGCGAGCCTGTCGTCTTTGCGTAAGATGGCGTATTTCCCTCACTATTAATGGTGAGATAAATAGAATCGTACAACTTGTCTGTGAAGAGAAAAAAGCATTAAATATGCAGTGACAATTTAACGAATTCTGTTAGAGCACCATGTTTTGAACGTAATAATGAATTTGGACAATTGCATTCATTATGACTGCGTGCAAAGATAACTTGACCTTTAATGAATTGAAAAAATGATTCCAAAAATCACAGTTAATATATTTTTTTAAATTTAATGTTACACAGTCTCCAGAAAAAGAACTAATGTACACAAATTAAATGATTTGCCATAGGCAGAGCAAAAAAATCGATACTAGAGCCCACTTTCTTTTTATTTTTTTAATTTTTTTTTTAATTTTTTTTTTTTAACGTTTATTTATTTTTGAGACAGAGAGAGACAGAGCATGAACGGGGGAGGGGCAGAGAGAGAGGGAGACACAGAATCTGAAACAGGCTCCAGGCTCTGAGCGGTCAGCACAGAGCCCGACGCGGGGCTCGAACTCACAGACCGCGAGATCGTGACCTGAGCCGAAGTCGGCCGCCCAACCGACTGAGCCACCCAGGTGCCCCTAATTTTTTTTAAGTAAGTAAGTAATCTCTGAACCCAATGTGGGGCTTGAACTCATGACCCCAAGATCAAGAGTCGCATGATCTACTGACAGAGCCAGCCAGGCGCCCCTGGAGCTCACTTTAAAACGTGTTTCTTATAATGGATCCAGTTTTCTTTCTAGTACAATTTCTTGTGTGATCACACGGCAGGTTTATAAGGAGATATCTGCCTCTATTTAGCACAGATGTCAGAAGTGGAACACAGGGACACACAGTCCAGTCTTCAGAAGCTAGAAGGCAGTTAGGCAGGAGAAGCGTCCTTTGTGACAGCAGAGTACGCAGCCTTGAGGCAGCTCCAGAGAACTCCAGGCTCCTCGGACGAGGCTGGAGGGCCGTGCCTGGACCTGGGGCACGGTCCCAGGTTGTCTGAGGTTGTCTCCAATCAGGATGCACTAGATTTAGGAATGGGATATTAAATGCATCCCCTCCTGGATGAAGCTGTCACCAGACTCTCTCAGGGAGACCTGTCTCGAGCACCATCTCACCAATAATGTAAGAGGTCAGGTCACATGCTTATTCAACAGACAGCAACATTTTAAAACGGTAAGGCCTTATTCTGAATTGGCTATTTCCCAGAAAGTACACAATTCCAGCCAAGAATGTTCAAGGCACGACAAATATTTTATCAAGAGATTCTCATCGTTTTAGAACCGACGCACCACGGTATTAATTACAGCAATGCTTCTTTTTGAGCCTGATGTTGCTTGGGGTACACTGTAATTTCCTTCAGAATTCCAAATTATATTTAGCAGATAGAGAGTACCCGGGAAGAATACACCGGTTAACAGTTGGTGATACTTTCAATAAGTCTCTCACCAATTTTTTTTTTTTTGGAATTATACATGACAATACTCATTAGGCTTAGATCAAGGGCAAACTAAAGACCCATTCCCACCTTGAAAGAATGTATCTCATAGACTCATAAAATGTTACTTTTCACCACAGGGTCATTAAAACCCATCAGCAATTTTGCCAGTTTAAGAAGAGATTTAAGTAAATGCTTTGAACTAAATTAGTAAGAAAAACTACAAGTTAAAAAAAAAAAAAAAAAAAGGCACACGCTCACTTACCATGAGAATGAAAAAGTAGAACACCCACATCCATCCCAGGTTGTCCTGGATCAAAGACACTAAATACTACAAGGGAGAAAAAGAAATTACGACATAATCCTTTATAAATTAATCACACGAAGTAGCTGAAAGGTGGATTAAACACAGCTCTTCCAGAAAGGGAGTTAGGATTTGTAGAATGGTTTTCGGTTTCCAAAGCTTTCACGTGTGTGTTCCTACTTAAAGATACCTGGCCTTCATCTTGTAAGCTGGCAGGGTCCAAATACAAAAACTGCAGAGCAGATGACAGGACTTCAGGTTTATTTGTATTCACTTTGCTACTAAGAGAGGAAAATTAACATCCTCAAGCCATTTCCATTTAATCATTCTTTCTTCCAGTGAAAGGTACTGTGACTGAAGCTTTCAAAAACAGTTGGTCTTCCAAGCGTACTGTTCGTTTTCGATTGTGTTACTGAAGCAGAGGATTTCTGTACAGTTTTAACATTCTACAGCATGTTCTTTGACTTTGTTTCAATTGCCGAAAAGGATCCATTCGCGTTTAACCCACCTTCTTTTTCAATTCTGATAAAATATATGTAACATAAAGTTAGCCATTTTACCCATCATTAAGTGTATGATTCAAAGGCATTGAGTACATTCACAATGTTGGACAACCATCACCACTATCTATTCCCAAAAATTTTCATCGCCCGAAACAGAAAGTCTGCACCGATTAAGCAGTAACTCCCCACCACCCCTTCTCCCCAGTCCCTGGTAACCTCTAATCTACTTTCTATCTCTAAGAATTTGCCTGTCCTAGATATTTCATGTTAGGTGGAATCACACAATATTTGTCCTTTTGTGTCTGGCTTATTCCACTGAGCATACCGTCTTCAAGGTTGCAGCATGTGTCAGAACACCATCCCCTTTTATGGCTGAATAATATTCTCTGGTGTGGACACACCACATTTTATTTATCTAGTCATCAGCTGATCAACATTTGGATTGTTTCCACCTTTTGGCTATTATGAACAATGCTGCAATGAACACTGGCATACAAACATGTGAGTCCTGTTTTCAGTTCTTTAAGGTATATTCCTAGGAGCGGAACTGCTGGGTCACATGGTAATTCCATGTTTCACTATTTGAGGGACCACTAAAGCATCTTCCAGAGTGGCTGCACCATTCTACATTCCCACCAGCGATGTCAAAGAGTCCCAGCTTCTCCACATCCTCATAGGTACTTGTTATTTTCTGTTGTTGTTGTCCTTGTTTTAAATTACAGCCATCCTAAAAGGTGTGAAGTGGCATCTCACTGTGTTTTTTATTTGCATTTCCCTAATAACGAAGGATCTTGAGAATCTTCACAAGTGTTTACTGGCCATTTGTACACATTTGTCATAAAGATTTGTCACTATGATTTCTTTTTTTTTTTTAATTTTTTTTAACCTTTATTTTTTTTGAGACAGAGAGAGAGATCATGAATGGGGGAGGGCCAGAGAGAGGGAGGCACAGAATCCGAAGCAGGCTCCAGGCTCTGAGCTGTCGGCACAGAGCCCCACGCGGGGCTCGAACTCACAGACCGTGAGATCATGACCTAAGCCAAAGTCGGACGCTCAACCGACTGAGCCACCCAGGCGCCCTATGATTTCTTCTTGAAGAGTTTTTTATTTATTTTAATGTTTGGGAGAGAGAGCTCGTGCACGCACATGCACACGTAAGCAAGGGAGGGGCAGAGAGAGGGAGAGGGAGAGAGAGAGAATACCAAACAGGCTCCATGCTGTCAGCGCAGAACCCACAGCAGGGCTTGATCCACAAACCATGAGATCATAACCTGAGCTGAAATCAAGAGTGAGACCTCAATCAACTGAGTCACCCAGGCACCCCTCTTCTAAGAGTTTTCATGGTTTTAGCTCTTAAAGTTAGGTATTTAATCCATTTTGCATTAATTTTTTGTCTATGCTATAAGGCAAGGGTCCAACTTCATTCTTCTGTGTGTGTGAATATCCAGTTTTCCCAGCACCATTTGGTGAAGAAACCATTCTTTCCCCATTGAATGGTCTTGGTGCCCTTGTCAAAAATCAACCGACCACAGGTGTGAGTTTCACACATGTTCTTCCATCACACACTACCAGTGAAATTCGTAAGCAAACAAATTTAAAAGCCAAACAAGTGAGGGGCGCCTGGGTGGCTCCGTTAAGCATCCGACTTCGGCTCAGGTCACGATCTCACTGCCTGTGAGTTCAAGCCCTGCATCGGCCTCTGTGCTGACAGCTCAGAGCCTGAAGCGTGCTTCAGATTCTATGTCTCCCTCTCTCCCTGCCCCTCCCTGACTTGCACTCTGTGTCTCTCTCTCTCTCTCTCACTCTCAAAAACAAACATTAAAAAGCAAAACAAGTGAGTGATTTACCCTAGATTATGAAACTATGAGATCTGGTCGCTCATTAAAGAGCTCAGAGCAGTGCCCCCGTGTCTTTCTGTTACTTTATCTTTCTTTTAAATAGTTTTATTGACGTATAACTTATATAACATAAAGTTCACCCATGCAGCTCAATGGTTTTGAGTATACTTACAGAATTGTGCAACCATTACCATAATCTAATTATAAGCCATTTCTTTTTTTTTTTTTTTAATTTTTTTTCCCAACGTTTATTTATTTTTTTGGGACAGAGAGAGACAGAGCATGAACGGGGGAGGGACAGAGAGAGAGGGAGACACAGAATCGGAAACAGGCTCCAGGCTCTGAGCCATCAGCCCAGAGCCTGACGCGGGGCTCGAACTCCCGGACCGCGAGATCGTGACCTGGCTGAAGTCGGACGCTTAACCGACTGCGCCACCCAGGCGCCCCATCCATTTCTATCACCACCACCACCCCGCCCTCCCCCCCACAAAGAGACCTCGTACCTATCAGTAGTCACTCCTCAGGCCCACCTGCTCCCAGGCAACCACTACTCTCTTTCGCCCATTTTGGATATCTCACATGAATGAGATCATTTACAGTATGTGGTCTTTTGTCACTGGCTTCTCTCACTTAGCATAATATTTTTTAGGTCCATCTACGTAACATCTATCCTCTTTTAAGTGCCAGATACCCTCTTAAAAATACTACTCCATCATAATGAATACACCACATTTTGTTCATCCATTCTTCAGTTGGTGAACATTTGAGTTTTTTCTAATTTTTAGCTGTTAGGAAAAATCCAGCTATGAACATACGTGTACACGGGTTCATGTGGACACGTGTGCTCATTTTTCTTGGGTAGACACCACGATTTAACCTTACTGATCCCCTACTGTGTGTTGTAAACACACTAAGCATTGGAGGAAAGGAACAGTTCCTGTTTGCAAGGAATGCAGTCTGGCACAGACAGATAAACCAGGAAGCGGGATGCCCCATGACAAGCACTGTTAGAGGTGAGCACCAAGTGCTATGGAAACTGAGAGGGCAATTTTCTTGTGAAGTCAAGGAAAGGTGGGGAAAGAAAGCTGTTCAGGGTAAGTTAAGAGAGCTGGGACAAAGCTCATCAAGTTTCTGATATTAAGTCACAGAGTTTGGGATTTCATGCCCCGAGCAATGGGAAATTACTCAAAAATCAACATGGAAGAGGAATGAATAAAACTAACAATGATTCACTCCTGACCCACTTCCCTGACCACCAAAGTAAACCCAACGCTAACCCACATACACAGTTAGGGATCCAAATACTGGCAGGTGAGGCACCCTACACAAAAATAAGCTCTTTGAAATGCTCATTATAACATGCCTACTTGATTAATGCAGAAAACATCAGTGAGAATGAGAACCTGAAATACAGCAGTGTCAGAAAAGGATGTCCAATACAACCACCCCTGATCGCTTACATGAACACGAAGACCTCTGAACTGGTAGCCAACAGCATTCTTTGGTTTCTATTCCAGAGCACAATCAAGTAAGCAAATTTCTCCTACTTTTTCTTGGATTTTTCTTCCTCTTCAGTCTCATCATCAAATATGCTAATAAGCACATCAATCACATCGATCAGTCGTTCTACAACAACTCAACAGATGCTGGAAGGTCTACTGTGTGCCAGGCACTGTTCTATGTACTGGGGCTACAGCAGAACACAATGCAAAATGCTGCCCTCGTGATGCTTACAACATGGTGGGGGAGTCAGACATTCACAAATAAATATACAAGATACGGCTGACTAGTGATAAGCATCAAGATGGCTTATCTTCCTCAATTCTTTTTCTCTCATTAACCACCAGCAATCTGGCATCGGTGATCTAGCCCCACAGAGCAAGCCAAACAGCAATATTCAGGTCCGATAATGACCTGTCAAAACTAAGAGCGTTTTCGATTCCATTCTCCTTCTCTGGCCTCTCTATACCTATGACCTTACTGACTAACACCTCCCCTTTCCTACACGTCACTCTGCTGACTTCCTGTTTCTTCGACCACTGGGCAGCCTCTGAGATTTTGTCTATATTTTCCTTCCCCATTAAACATCTCATTCACTTCCAAAGTTTCAACTATTTTATCTATGCAGATGATTCTCTGATCCTTATTTTTGCAAAAGCAGCACTCAATGTGCTGGAAAAGTATAACCTAAGAGAGGCATGACTCACAACTGTCCCAAAGAAAAGGTTGAATTTAAGCAAAACAAGATCGACTTGAGTTGTTCTGACTACTTATTGTAGGCCAATCTTAGCCTAGACGATCTCAAGTTTAGAGTGCATCACAATCACCAGGAAGGCTTTTTGAAACGCAGATCTCTATGTTCTAAATCAGCAAGCCCGTGGTAAGCTTAGCGTTCTGTACTTTAATAAATCACCTAGATGATCCTGACCCAAGACTTTAATGAACCGCCCTTTGAGACACAGCCATTGGAAACAGAGAAAATGACTCAGAGCAGCTGCCAGAGTCCGTGGCGATTTCTGGTAGGGATCCACGTGAAGAACGCGTGTGTCTGGTAGGAGAGAGGAGGTAGGGTGTGCATGCCAGGTGGGGGATAACGAGAAGCATGTGTCTCAGGGCCCCGCAGACTGCCAAGTTCAGGCTAGGAAGAAAGGAGCAGCAAACTGGGACTGAGAGCTGTCTTATGAGGTGTCGGCTAATTTCCAGACAGGAAGAATCTGGATATTAAAGTGGGAAGAAGAAACTAAAAAACGCAGAAGGACCTTCCATATCAGGTCACATTAGCTGACCTCAGAGGAGATTAGCAACATAAGGCTTTATGGGAAAGTGTCCTGTATAGCACTAGAGTGCCACCTACTGTGGCCCGGTGGACAGATGTAAACTCTTGGACCATTGAGAGACTACTCGCCACTCAGTCTCACCCCCTCTCCTGTTCTCTCACCTGGCCTACCGCTGCTCCAATGCTTCCGGTTCCATCAACAATTCCTGTGACGGTCGCCAAAGCCTCACTGCTCCCTTGGATCAGCTCTTGGTGACCCAGGTCCGCAGAAATAGCAGAGCTAATCATATTAGAAGGTCCACCAATAAAAAATCCTGAAGTCATAAACAAAACAGGTTCTCATTAACACACTATTCTTAACACCACTAGAAATCTACTGGACAAGATAAGCTCTTATCCAAACATTTTTTTTAATGTTTATTTATTTTTGAGAGAGAGAGAGACAGAGTGTAAGCAGGGAAGGGGCAGAAAGAGAGGGAGACACAGAAGCAGGCTCCAGGCTCTGAGCTGTGAGCACAGAGCCTGACGTGGGGCTCGAACTCACGAGCCGTGAGATTATGACCTCACGGTCATATGGAGATTATGAGCCAAAGTCGGATGCTTAACCCACTGAGCCACCCAGGCACTCCTCAACATTTTAATCAATATGCTGAAGAGAAACAGTGAAGGGGGGGGGGGGGGGGGAGAAGAAACCAGTAAAAATGAACACTCTCCCAGATAGTGACATCTTCAAACTAGTTGGCATCTGCTTTTCTGAAAGTCCTACTTGAATTATGTGATACGGCAGTGTATTTTCATAAAAGCCAAAGATACAGAAAATACAGTAAACATACAACCTTTCTAATGTTGCAAAGGCTGCGTTCATTAGTAACTAATTACACTCGCTTGTCGACTTCTACGGTAGAGTTGTATCAACTGAGCATTTGACTATCCAAATTCAACCACACGTACTGAAAATAAGAGCGAAGAGAAGCAGCTCCACAAGCGGCGCAGATGGTTCTTCTCAGCCACCGCCCCCCGCAAGGCTGTCTGAGGACTGAGCAGAGGCTGGCCCGTGTGAATCTGTTCGCACGGCTGGAATGAGCTCCATGTGCCTCACGTATCATGAGCAGCTCTCACTCTCCTGAGTATGATCTAAAGTTTAAAAGTCATTTTTCCATACCACGGCCCTGATTACACTCAACTGTTTCATCTGCTGCTCCACTGGAGAAACATTGGCCAATTCCAACACTGAAAGCTGGTGAACTGGTTTCTAACGTGCCATCTTCCTAAGTCGCTTCTAGAAGTAACAGGGGAAGCTGAGGCCAATCAAAAAATACTAGAGGGGCACCTGGGTGGCTCCATCGGTTCAGCGTCCAACTTCGGCTCAGATCATGATCTCGCGGTCCTCAAGTTCGAGCCCCGCATCGGGCTCTGTGCTGACAGCTCAGAGCCTGGAGCCTGCTTCGGATTCTGTCTCCCTCTCTCTGCCCCTCCCCCACTCGTGCTCTGTCTCTCTCTCTCTCTCTCTCAATCTCTCTCTCTGTCAAAAATAAATACACTTAGGGGCGCCTGGGTGGTTCAGTCGGTTGGGCATCCGGCTTTGGCTCAGGTCATAATCTCACGGTCTGTGGGTTCGAGCCCCACGTCGGGCTCTGTGCTGACAGCTTGGAGCCTGGAGCCTGCTTCAGATTCTGTGTCTCCCTCTCTCTCTCTGCCCTACCCCTACTCATGCTCTGTCTCTTTCTGTCTCAAAAATCAAAATAAACATTAAAATTTTTAAAAAAAAATAATAAAATAAATAAATAAATAAATAAACTTAAAAAAAATAAAGTAAAAAAAAGTACTAGAAAATCTCTGTCAAAAGGGACTGCTTCTCTAACAACAGGACTGAAGAGGTCACATAAGAGCAGAGAAACAGAATCTGAAGTAGACAGTTTTCCTTTTACCATGTGAGTTCTCCATAACGAAGGGTTAGTATTACTCAAACTGAAAGAGCACACAGTTTCCCTCTCTTCTTTTTATTTACAGAGAAGTAGTAATAGTATAACGAAACGGAGCCACACAACTTACCTGTAACCGCCATCAGAAGTGCGTTAATGGACTTATCGTTTGGAGAACCTAAGAGGAGGGACACAGAAACAGCGTGCTGATTTTAAGAACGGATTACACGGGCCCGCACCGAACAGCACACAAAGATCTGGATCTCGGTGACCTCACAGATCACTCCCAGAGACAACAAAGGGCTACAAGTCTTTCACCGCCTGCCCCAACTTTTATTTGTAATGTCTGCCACTTGCTGGTGCTCGAGCTAATGAGACTTCTAAAAGCTAAGGAAAAACTCTACTCCCTTCTCAGCAGCATCTTAAGGGACATATACCAAACCTACTAATTACCATCTCTCCTCTTTTGAAACCCTTTCCCTTTTATTGTTTTATTGCCTCTAATGCTGGCCCTCTGGAGCCTACCCTCAAACAAAGCATATACACTCCCAAGCAAGCTTTTAAACAAACCAACAAAGCAGAAGAGATGCCAGTTTCCTCCCCAACACAAATAAAACTACGTGATGATACTTTTACCAGGCCTTTACAGGACCATACAAAGGTCTCGGATCAGCCTTTGTAGCCGGTCTCAAGGATCTCCCTGGCGTTGATCGCTGACTCATGGCAAAGGCCTGAGTCCTAAGAGATCAGAAAAATAATTGAATTGCAAGGGAATACTCACGGCTGTATCCAACGAGGGACCCAACTGCCAGAAGCAGGCTCAGAGCTAAAACCGGGGCTCTCTTCTGTAACACGTCAGAGACGAAACCTTGCAAAGTTCCACCTGTGAAGCACAAGGAGCCCATCACAATCAAAATCGTTTATCATGTAGCTCAGTTACCTGAAACTCATTCACCATGTACCCTCTACCTGCTATAGGATCCTGAGACTGGTCCACCCAAAAAGAGGGCTGACTCTCCTAAAAAGCTTCCACCAGAGCTTCCTTTTAGGAAGAATGCCTGACTGTCAATTGCCGTGATGGATGACAGGGACAGGACACCATGAATCAGACAGCAAAATAAGGAAAAATCATCAAAACCACCCACTGTCTCTTGCTGTTCTCCCTTTTCAAACCAGCTGTGAAGGCTTTTCCTAATTCTTCTGCTTTTTATTTTAAAAGATACAGGGGTGCCTGGGTGGCTCAGTCAGTTAAGCGTCCGACTTCGGCTCAGGTCATGATCTCTCAGTTTGTAACTTTGAGCCCCACGTCGGGCTCTGTGCTAACACCTGGGAGCCTGGAGCCTGCTTCGGATTCTGTGTGTGTGTGTGTGTGTGTGTGTGTGTGTGTGTGTGTGTGTGTGTGTGTGTGTGTGTGTGTGTGTGTGTGTGTGTGTGTGTGTGTGTGTGTGTGTGTGTGTGTGTGTCTGCCCCTCCCCCACTTGCGTTCTGTCTCTCTCTCTCAAGAATAAATAAACATTAAAAAAAATTGTCTTAAGATGATTCATTAGGGGCTCCTGGATGGCTCTGACAGAACCTGCTTGGGATTCTCTCTCTCTGTCTCTCCCTCTTTCTCTTGTGCATAGGCCCGCCCTCTGCCCCTCCCCCTGACTCACGCACGTGTGCTCTCTCTCTCTCTCTCTCTCTCTCCCAAAATAAATAAGCATTAAACAAACAAACAAAAAAAAGATGATTCATTGAAGACCATGCCTCACAGGCTATTAGTAGCAGCCAATAAATGTTCACTAAAATTAAATGCAGTGATTATGGTCTGGTGATAATGCACAGGCCAGGATCTTTAAAAAGAGGTGATGTGAATCCTTCAAACAACAAGGTCACCTTTAGATACAGCCCCATTTCGAGTTCTAGGGACTATGGGACATCTGGTACATCCTCCTCAGACAGCAGGATCCAGAGGTATGAGCAGGTCTAAAGGTGACAGCCTCACCTTTGGCTCTGTATCTAAGGCTAAGGGCAGACAAGTTCAAGTAAAATAACAGGGTATCGCCTGAGGATGCACCGCTCTCACGTGTTCAGGACAGTTTAGCCTTACCACAATTCTAAATCCAAACAGCACAGAAAAGATGTTAAGGTTTTGCCACAGCAACAGCAGTAACACCCACTACCACAGTCCGTACCGCTGTCTTGTTTTAAAGTTTCTCCCGTACTTGTTTATACTTCCAGCTATAGCAAAAAGTTACCATTAAAATCTGCTGTGTACAATGAAACAGCTGCAAAATGCGCATAGGAATTAATCCCGCTATTATTCCTACCTCTATGGTCTGACAAAATCTACACACTAAGCTAGTATCTCCCCTTCTTTGGTGTGGGTGGTGGGAAAGGTGGTGGGAAATAGATCAAATGAACACATTCACATTCTAACTCGGATCCCTGGCATGTGATTAGCTTTAGAGCTCAGATATCACTTACAAGTGTACGAAAGGGTTACACTTTACGGAGGGAAACATCGCTGTGCTTCCCAACACAAAAGAACTGATCCATAAACAAAGAACGGAGAAACAAGAGCCCTATAAATCACAGGGCTGCCGGGGGCTGGCTCTTCTTTTCTATGGATTCTTTTTTTTTTTTTTTTTTTTTTTTTTTTTTTTTTTTTTAAGAGTTTGTGTGTTTACTGATTGGGCACTTTAGGAAAAATGGCTGTGGACTAAGTAATAAAACTTTAAAGGATGTCAGATTTCATAACCCAGTAAAATATTACTAGTGAGTAACTCCCTTTACAGAAAAAGATGCATCTGGCCTTACCTATAATTCCTCCAACATCGTACCAAATGGACAGCTTGTCAGCTTCAGCCTCCTTCCATCCAAAGTTGTTACTCAGATAAAAGGGCAACCAGAAGAAGAAGGAGTAATTTACCAACTTCAAGCAGGCATAGGCCAGTGAATACTACAAGAAAAACATGCGACTATCAGTGAGAACAAATAGCACAGCAGGACCACAATTTTTAACATAATTAAAAAAGCAAAACCAGACACAGGAGTTTGGGATGAACCCACCTGATTCTAGAATTAAACATTTCTACAGATTCCCTGACTTTGCCTAGCCTCCCTCTTCTCTTTATCCGCATTAGCTTCCAGAAAAGCACATGCAGCAGGCCTTTAAAATAAGAACACATAGGACTATTTCTTGATTGTCCCCAATTTCTTCTCCTTCCAGTTCTCTGGTAGAAGCAAACCAGTGTTTTGAACCTAAAAGGCAGGGCATTTACTCGTGTTTCTTTATTTAGACAAAGATAAAAGGTATTCATCCCACTATCATTAACCAAAAGCAAAGAAATCCAGTAAGCATCTCGGCTTTTCTTCCAAGCAGCCAAACCTTTCTGGTTCGTCTACTTCCTGCAAAGTTAACACTATGATCAGTGGAGGGCAATAGGACTACACTCCAGTTTCAAGGTCTAAAAAAAGCATCAACGTTAAAACTATTTTCATATTATGGTGTCCAAAGGCCTTTATATTCCAGTGGAAAAGAAAAAGTATCTTTGGTGAGTCAGCAATGAAGGAACACGATGGTCATGGGCCTTGTGACTCTACTTGGAGGAATAAAAGATGGCAGTGGGGCTAAGACTCCTATATTCAACACATTATTACCAGGAAATCCTGACATTTAGCATCAAAGGAAAAAGGGGGAGGAGCAGAGAGACCGGACTTCAAAGGGTGTCTGGCTAGTATATTCTTTTCCCTGGAGCTGCCAGCTATTCCCTAGGTATCACTTGTTTTAAAACAGCTTCCCTGGCAGGGCAACAGCCACCCCCTAGAGAGCTAAATCCCAATCATGAGGGCGTTTTGTCCAGACAGCCTGCTGCAGAGACAAAGGAATTAAGTTAACTAGATTTCCTCTGCATCCCTGCCTGTGTCAGGGAACAATCGCCTGTGAAATACAAAGGAATAGGAAAAAAAAACACTTACAACAACAGATTTTTAAGTCCTGTCCCCAAAATTAAACTATTACCAGCAAAGTATTTTAATAACTAGTTAAAAATTACTAATCACTAGCATGAGAACAGGCCTAAAGGAACTTGCATTTCTCCTGTATAACATATCATCTTTTGGTGACAGAATTGTGGAAACTCACACTTACATTTTAACTTATAGTTCACTATCTGTTTGCAAATATCGGTCCTCTCGGCTTGGAGGCAGAGGTCAGAGGGAACAAGTATGTATGAGAAAGGACAACCTGCAGGCTCTGAATCTAGCTGAGGGGTTACATTGTAAAGCACCATTAGACAATAAAATAAACAAAACCGGGTGCTTGTTCACAATACAATAACCCAATGTTCTAGGCCCCGGGGAAGGCTGGTTTACTTTCCACTCCAGAGGGAAGGGGAACAGAGACACAGGATGGGCTGAGGGACTTATCCCAGGCCTCACACAAAGTTAGTGGGTAAGCCGGACACATAACCTAGGCCTCTTAACTTCCACTCCCATGCTAGAGGGCCCGAAACATCAAGACAGAAAAACTGCAGCAGAAGGGATTTAGTTCAGACGTTAGACGGTTCTCCTGACCGTAAAGGTTTTGGAAACACTGGAATGCATTACCAAGAAGTACTGTGGAGTAATGTGCTCTGGACCTTTTAATAAAAGGGCAAACAATTTTGTTCCCGGAATGGTAAGAATATAGGCAAAGAAGGCAGACTGAAATGGACCATTCAAAACCCCCTCTTGGTCTACATATAATTCTATAATACTTCAACAAATCAGAAAGAATGTATTTAAAAACACCAATTTCGGGCACCTGAGTGGCTCAGTTGGTTAAGCTTCCGACTCTTGATTTCGGCTTAGGTCATGATCTCACAGTTTGTGAGACTGAGCCCCATGTCAGGCTCTGCCTGCTTGGGTTTCTCTCTCTCCCTCTCTCTCTCTCTGCTCCTCCCCTGTGCATGCGTGCATGTGCTCCCTCTGTCTCCTGCTCTCATTCAAATAAATAAACATTAATAAACAAAAACCAAAAAAACATTAATTCTGCCTTCTTACTTGAATGCTAGGTCAGGGTCAGCACACTGGAGCTCACGGGCCAAACCTGTCCACACCCATTTGTTCCATACCATCCAGAGTTACTTGCTTCCTGGACGTGAGTAGTTGTGGTAGAGCCTGTACAATCCCCCCTCCAAAGTTAAAAACATTTACTATCTGGCTCTTCACAGAAAATGTACACCAACCCCTGCATTAGACTGCAGATAAAATTTCAAGTCTAGAAACAAGCCGAGGGTCACTATCCAATATTCCTCTGAACATATACTCCTACAATAAGGTATCAAAAAGAAGCTAAACACTTAAAGATGCTTTATCCTAGGGAGGGTTCACATTCAGGCCATAATATCTCACTGGTGGTAAGGAGATCTGAGGGGCCCTTACCGGTATAACTCCAGGAAGACAACAGGCCTGATAAAAGCTGATTGCCTTGACTTGGGTAATAGTGCTGCCTTCTTGAATGGAATAATTAGGTTCGTATTCATCTTCGTTTTCGGCACCATTAATTAATGGCCTGTGTGAGTCTTCTTCAAAATTTTCTTCTGCCTCAATACCTGGGATACCTGCAACAGTAACAGCCACCATTTATAGAATGCCTTCTAGATGCCCGGCACTGGGCCGAGGGTTCTGCATGTATCATTGCTCGTGGGGTTGGTATTATTTTCATTTCCACATTACAGAAGAAGCGACTAAGGTTCAGAGGCCAAGGTCAGCTGAGGTCGGCTAAGATCACACAGCTAATAAGCCACAAAGCCAGGACTCTGATTCTACTTTACCTGGCTTCAGAGCAATGCTTTTTCAACTACTTCACACTCTCTCTTACATTAAAAAAAAATAAAATAAAGTGTTCACTACACACGAGTAAACTGACATGTCTCTTCAAGAACTCAAAAGACGGACTCGTACATTTATTTGCTTCTGTGGTTTTGCTCGTACATATTCTGTATGTAACCACAGATGAGTATCACACTAAATTACTTTTACGAAGGACAAGAAATGTCTGAAGAAGTGAAATGAGAAACATTCCATGCTAGTTTCCAGTCAGTATTCTCGATTACAAAGCTCATTTGCCAATGAAGAGTTTTCCCTGAATCCGGGAAGGTGAGCCTCGCTCCCCTCCAACGTCCGCAGCTGTGCTGGGAGAGCCACCCACAGGGTCTACTGGACACACAGAGCAACGCCACTCCTCTAAGTCACTGAAAGGGGCTCACAGTTCTCCTAGGGAACAAGAACCTGGCCGTGCAGGCCTCACCCATAACCGTAAGACGTTCTGAACAGAAAGGCCGCTTCTCCTCACCAATTTCTTCTGGTGACACCAGGAGTCCAAAGAAGATGATGATCCCACCAGCAAACTGCACTGCCGCGGTCACCAGAAAGGCATACTGGAGAAGAGAGGAGAGAGGTGCTTCCTTACCCATCTGGGGGATTCATTCAAGCACATTCATTAGAAGCACCCATGGGGCAGGTGGGGAGCTGGGCAGGAAGAACAGGGAGACTGGCAAGGAAATGGCCCGTGCCAGGCACAGAGCTGTTTCGCGTGTTTTCCCAGGCATCTTCCCCACGAGGCTCAAAGAGCACAATTAGAGTCCCAGGGACACTGAGTGGTACTACAATTGTGAAATCAGGACTGGCTCCCAAATCCTCATTCTTCGCACCACACAGCCTCCCACAAGAGACAGTATCTGCCCCCGCAAACATTCTATCCGGTTGAGGGGATTAAACAATACACCAAACAATAACACGAGGCATCAAGCGGCCGAATAGATGAGAAGACCCAGTCCTAATAAGAAACACATAGAGAAGGAAACAGCTAATGGTGCCGATATAGCAAGACAATGTCTTAAGGAAGAGCTAAAACAGGCAGCTGACGGTCTTTCCCAGCACGACTGAAGCAAAGAGGGCTGGGAACTGGATAGAAAGTCTCCTACGTGGTCAAAGCAGATGGCTTGTGCTGAGGGACAGTAGGGAATAAAACTGATAGGAAAAGCTGAGATCAAGATGAAAGAACCTCAAAAGCCAGGCTGCAGAGCTGAATTCTGTTTAATAGAGAATGGAACCTGATGTGGATAGACAGCCTAAATTTCTGGAAAAGACGGTGACACGTTAGCGTTTCCAGAAGTCAAACCTGGGAGCGGCACACAGGGTGAACCGAAATTCCCATCTGAAGCAATGAGTATAATCCAGATGCAAATCTAAGAAGCCTAGAATAAAGGTGACTGCGAGTGCACGAAGGACCTCCCATTGACCCTAACCAGACAAAGATTCTTCTGAGACCATGGGGCGCCTGGGTGGCGCAGTCGGTTAAGCATCCAACTTCAGCCAGGTCACGATCTCGCGGTCCGTGAGTTCGAGCCCCGCGTCGGGCTCTGGGCTGATGGCTCAGAACCTGGAGCCTGCTTCCGATTCTGTGTCTCCCTCTCTCTCTGCCCCTCCCCCGTTCATGCTGTGTCTCCCTCTGTCTCAAAAATAAATAAA